CAGCCACTGGGAGCCAGGGCCCATGGTCAGAACTGCCAGGAAGGGATTCAGTTCCCAGGTCTGGAAGGATAGAAAGAACAGCGAGTCTGGTGGTGATCTACAGTTGGACAGATGGGGATTACACAGTCATGTACACCTAGAGCTCCTTACTCATCCAGGATAGAAAAGTAAGAGTCTATGGCACATGGCACATATGTGACATCCATGTTGAAGACTGAAACATATTGATTCCCGTGTCCTTGTTGGCTCCTGTGCCGCCTCTGCTTAGCATCTGCCTCCTGCCTATTGCCCCCTCCCTCCACAGCCTCTGCCAAATTTCAAACTAAGCCCAACAGTCATCACATCTCACATCTTTCTTCCATATTGCACAACTTGGAATAATAACATCTCTAATTTTTTAAGAATAAAACTGGTGTTCTTGTGACCAGACCATATATTGTATTTTGTCTTATGAAACCAAATATCGTGGGAAAGTATGAGCATATGCACATGGAAGCTGAAAAATGCCTCAAATACCACCTGATAGACCTGGTCAGCATCCACACCTCTCCTCCACAGGACTGGGGGGAATTTCCCTCAGTACATCAGAACCACTTGGGGAGCTAGTATAACATGCAGGTGCCACTGGGTGTGATGGCACATGCCTGTAATCCCAGCAGTTTGGGAGGCTGAGACAGGAGGATGGCTTGAGCCCAGGAGTTTGAGGGCAAACTAGGCAATGTAACAAAACCCCATCTCTTAAGAAAAATCAAAAATAAATATTTTGAAAAACTTAATGGTCATAATTGAATAGAAATGAAAATAGAAACCCTAATTGCCATAATTGATATAGAGATGAGATCTATAGGCCTCAATCAGTAAGAGTTCATAACACTTTGTTGAATACCTCTATTGGCAAAATGCTATTCTAGTTTCAGAAGTTACAAAATAAGATAGAAACCAGTTTCCATGCCAAGCAGATATAATCTAGTTGAGGGCCGTGAGTCCAACTAGAAGCAGCTTCATAACCATCACCACATTCAGATGAAAGCCTATTCCAGCCCTGCTCTGTGAGGAAAACTGCACCAACCCAAGGGCCCTCTCCCTTCCTTGGAGTGCAGGACAGTGTCTCTTTGGCTCTGTATCATCTTTTCTGACACCAAGTGCAATAAGTACTAAGTGTTATCAACTGAATTCAATACTACTTTTCAGAAGTTGAAGTGTGTAAGAAGATTAAATTATAGAACAGATGTGCTTCAAAGTCTCTTTTGCCAAGTTATCCATTCAGTACACCAAGTTGCCTACAAGACACTATGTCTATACCATGCAGAACAATATCCATTTGAGTTGCCACTGTGTCCCCTGGACTCCATACAATTAAAGTGTGTGCACTAGAAATAACTACAAAGACAGAGAGTCCTTGTTGTTATGTGGAAATGCTAGGGTTTCGGTTTTGGATTTGTACTTCTTAAGGTATGCATGAACTGTGTCTGGAGTTGGTGCAACTGTTACCCAGAGGCATGCGGAGCTCAGGAGGAAAGCCTGTGTTTTCCATGTTGTCCAAATAGCTTTAGGCCAGTAGGAATGTGCCAGAACCCACTGTTCTTGCAGATGCCTGCTTTTGCTGATCTCTGGAGTCCCCCAGGCAGCATGTGGGCCACACTGAGAGACCCAGAGGCCACTGCACACTTTCTTAGGAGTCACTGTGGGGATTCACACTGTCGTGTCCAGCAGAACAATGTTGAAAATATCCCCTCCACTTTCCAAGTTGACTGGTTCATTTCTTCCCTAAAAAGCTCTGCAAGAGACTTATATAGTTTTCCAAATTCCTGTTCTTGTTAATGACTTTCTCCTAAAATTGGAGGAAAAAACTCATCTAACCAACCATTCACTTTAAAACATCATTTTCTCTTCAGTGACTTTTTATCTTTTTGAATTAAGTGATGTTTGTCAGGAAAGTCCTTCTTAGTGCATGCTTCCTATGATTATTATATCTTTTTTTTTTGGGGGGGGGGGGTGTACCAGGGATTGAACTCAGGATCACTTTATTGCTGAGCCACATCCCCAGACATTTTTTATGTTTTATTTAGGAACAGGGTCTTACTAAGTTGCTGAAGCTGGCTCTGAACTCACAATCCTCCTGCCTCAGCCCCCCAAACCACTGGGATTATAGGCATATGCCATATTGTACCTAACAGGACTTGATTTCTTACTAGCTATCAGAAGCTTTCCATAGTTCCCTGAAGCTTATAATATGGCAACTTGCTTCTTCAGAACCAGCAGGAGTCTCCCCATGCATGAGTGAGCTAGCAGGACCACAACCATGCTTGGGTATGTGTGTGTGATAGTGTGATAGATGACAGCCCATCACCTTTGCTTATTCTTGGTTAGAAGTGAGTCGCAGAACCTGCCAACACACAGGGGAGGGGATCATACAGATGGAGGAATCCCAGGAGGTGGAAATTACTGGGGAGTCACCCAAGGCTCCCTCTGCCATAATCCCATCAGAACTGAAGTACTCAGAGGATGACTTAGAGTTGGAGGTGAATTTTTTTATCACTCTTCTGGAGTCTAGTTGTCTTAAAGGACATTCGTAATTCTCTAACTCAATTTTAGTTCTCTTATCTTTAAATATCAAGAAATAGAAGGCCATGTAACAATTCTTGGGCAAGGCCCAGGAAAGCTACAGGACCCAGAAGTGTGAGAAAGACAAATGGTACTCAAAATGTACTCAAGTACATTTAAGTAGTCAAAACCCCCAAACTCAGCTATCACTGGTTTGTCTTTGCTTGTTGTGTGATTTGTCTTACTTTGATCTTCCACAAATATTTGAAATTGCACATATTTCTCCTGTCTCTGTTTAACGTTGGCTCTTGTTGCCGACCTCAGTAGTTCAGAGGATTACCATTCATCTTCTTCCCTCAGTTCCCTTTGTAGAACACCTGAATCCTCTGAAGAGTTAAGCCTGCTTTGGGCTTCAGAACTTGAATGCGGGGACGTAACTTACCATCTGTCTTAAACTTTGTAAGTAACTTTTTGCCAAGACAAACGTGGATTATAGGCAACAACCTGGGACTTTCCTGGTCTCAGAACAGGAAAAATAAAAGAACCCCAAAGTATTATTTTAAGCACTTTGTTTGCTAGTAGTGTTTGTGGTGAATGAAAAATTGATCCTTAATTGTGTGAGAAACAGAGAAGCGATATGCATGCCAATGGCCAAGCACAGACTTCAGAGAGTTAGCAGTTTTGAAACTGATATTTATGAACATCTGCTTTTTCCCCATAAATTTTAATATGGATTTCATCCTTTGAAACCTGCAAAACTCCCAGGTGCTTCTTTAGTCTTTATCTTGTGGAACATTCTTCTATTTAAAAAAAAAGAAAGAAAGTCTCCTTTTTTCCAGTGAACACATTCTAAATCGCTCTTGTTAAAACGACATTCCTATATATACAGTGCCTGTCGGAATGCCTGTAAGAACCATGAAATATTAGCAACCCCAAATACTCAGCACATTGAGCCTCCAAAACGTCCAGTCCCAGAACACAAGCAGTAGCGGCCTTCACAGAGAATTCTGGAAAGGATCCATTCCAGTCCCAGTCTGCCTCTCACTACCCTGGCATTCACTTGGGGCTTGCCATGTGACAAGCTCTCCAGGTGCTGAGGTCACGGTGGCCAACACAATAGACAAAATCCCTGTCCTCCTCGTGCTTACATTCTAGTGAGAACATTCTCTGAGAAGAATTCCTCTTACATTCCATAACGCCTCTCCTGTAGTTCACTGGGAAATAGACTTTGCCCTGGGCCTGCAAACCAGTGATGTTACTCCATTCCTGGTGCCAGACTAGAGTTGGAGGATGAAACTGGGAACCAGTAGGCACGTTCTGCTCTCAAGAATCTCATGGTGTTCTATATCACCTGTGTCAAGAAATCAGGAGGTGGAAATCAGGAGCTTTGGACAGAATCCAGATAGCTGATCTCTACTTAGACCAGGACAAGCAAATACCATCTACATTGCCCAGCTCTGGGGAAATGAAGAATTTGTTACCATAGGTGGAGAGAGGAGAATGTGCGGGCCACAGGGGAGGAGGAGAAAGCCCAGCTCAAGCCAAGACAAACACAGAAGTGCACTGGGCTCATGCACGGCCAGGGAGAACATCAATATCCCTCTGAGGAGGAGCAACCTTTGAAGCATGCAGCCCTGGCCACGGTGGGAAAAAGAGACTAGTATCCCATAATAGCAAGGCCTTAGGAAGACAGTAGAGCAATTTAATTTGGTTAGGCTAATAGTTCTCCATCCATTACAGTCTAATGGAAATTCTCCTCAGCCTCTTCAACAGGAGCACATTGGCAGGGCGCCACAGAGCCCCAAAACAGGACGATCCTCTGGTGCATCAAATTCTACTCCACCATTAGAGGAAAACCGTTAACTGATTTACTGATAAATAACAAGACATAATTTTCCATTAAAACCAATAGAGTGATCTTATGGTATAGAATGCAAATTTACATATGCTTTTAAGATAAGCCATGAGAGTAAGAGAGTGCTGGGGCCCAGGGCTAACGATTAGGTCGATCCCCAGATTTTCCATCAGCCCCTGCAAAGGCAGCCTTGCAAAAACAATATTTATGAGAATACTATCATGCACTATTTTATATAAAATGTAAATAAAAAAGAAGTCATTCAACAACATTTCCTTCAACGACACTGCCACTTGGATGTCCCTCCTTTTTAGAAATTCTGGAGCTGCTCCTGGATGCAGAGAATTCTGGGCCACTCCAGGTTCTGACACCCAGCCCCCAGGCCTGTTCCCTCTCTGCACCTGAGAGCTCTCCCATGGCGGAGTCTGAGCTGACTGTTCCGTCCACCACTGGCCAACAGCAGCCTTGCCAATGCCCCTCTTGGTCCCTAGCACAGAGACTGAGCATTGGCTATGCTGATTGCATGTCCCCTTTCCCTGTCTCAGGATGCCGTGTAGCAGCAGGTCACCTGTATTCTTTGTGCTCTGTGTTCCTGCAACAGGACCTGGACCAGGTACAGCTCCATCTGGAGGAGGTGCGGTTCTTTGACGTGTTTGGCTTCAGTGAAGCGGCCGGAGCGTGGCAGTGCTTCATGTGCAACAACCCCGAACGAGCCAGCGGTGAGAGGCCCCACCTGCACCCAGAACCCTGGGTCCTTTGGGCTCACTGGGTCTACTAGCCCTGCTGCCTGGTTGGCTTTCCTCCGCCTAAACGTCCCAATTTGTAAGAATGCAGTTGTGCCTGATCCCTGCTTCATGCTGAGAAAAGCATCTCACCAAAGTGGCCTTGAGGAAAGGGAAGATGTTGGGAGGAGAGAAGTGCAGACCAGAAGTGAGCACCAGAAACAGTGCCTTACCCCTCTGTGGTTTTGAGAGCAGCATCAGGCTAGGGCCGGGGCCGGGGCCAGGGCTTGGGCTGGGGCTGAGTGGTAAAGTGCTTATCTAGCTAGTGTTACGGCCCTGGGTTCCATCCCCAGTGCAGGGAGGAAGGAGAGGAACGGAGGAAGGGAGGAAGGGAAGAAAGGGAGGGGGGAGGAAGTGTCAGCCATTTATCCCTGAGAGCATCCTTCATTTCAACTCACAGTCCTGAGGGTTAGAGAAAAACAAGCACCTGTGGGGGTATGTTCCCGAGACTCATAGAAGTACAATCAGTGAGTGTGCACACAGCTTATCTAGAGTGACCCCTTCCAGGGCAGCTTGATGACTGACTGTGTAAACAGCAGAATATTGGAAGAGTGAGGGATTATTTGGAATAACCCATGTCTGGTTATTTACCCTTCCTCTTTGTTTTCTGCTGCCCAAGGAATTTGGTCTACTGACCTTTCATAAAAATAATAATCATTAGTGAATATGATCAAAGCCCTGTGCTACACACCATCATTTCATCAACACTCACAACAATCTTATGAGGTAAGTACTGATGTTATCTGTGGGGAAACTGAGGCACAGAGAGGTTGGCAACTGTCCATGGTCACAAAGTATTTGAACTCAGTCTGAATCCAGAACCCATGATCTTAAGCATTTTGCCATTCTCCCTCCTGGTTAAACTTGACCCGATGTGACCACTGGAAAGAGGTTGATCATAAGCCTATGCTTAAAAATCTTGCTGTCCTTGGAAGTGGAACACTTCATGACTAATTTCCCTTCTGAGAGGAGAGTTCACAATGCTGGCACAGCTCAGGAACTGCAATTGAGACCAAGGGAGCAGCATTGAAATGCCGCAGAACACGAGGACACTTAATACACAAGCCACCCTCCAGAAAGCTACCGGTTATGCCACCTGTACGGATCCTTTAACTGCAGGATTCTGTGCATCTTGAAGATTCCCCATTGTGGCAAGTCTATTCTCTTGTCACTGCCAAGATGTTGAGGCTGAATCAGAAAAGTGTGTTCATATGGCCAGATGGAGACGTAAGGCACTCACAGAGAGGCACCAATTAAAATGCATTACCCCACGAAAAAGGTACAGATGAAGAGCGGCAGTGAGGACGCCAGCCCCTTTGAGGCACAGATTGCTGGCTGATTGCAGACACTGGATCCAGCCCATGCCACAGTGAACACCCCAATTTTTTAGAAAGTTAATTCAAGCAAGTAAGGAATTGGGGAATTGAATGCCTCCTTATAAAACTTTCTAATCAGACCCTATTTCACATGTGAAAAAAGAGCATGAAAGAAACTTTCTCTGAGACACGGTAAAGTGAAGTGCCATTGTAGGTGGCCCGAGAGCCCCGAGAGGGCTCCCTCGGAGGAAGCTGAGTCTTTGGTCAACAAGTATTTAATCGCATCCGGCTAAAGGAGGCCTCAGAAAAGGGGCTGAAACTTGGAAGCACAAAGCGCTCCTGTAGTGTGTGTTTTCTCAAGTTCACGGCCATGCTCTTGGAAAGCACACTTCACACATTTGCTCTTCCTTATCTCTTATCAATTTCTCTCTGCTAAATAGAGACTGAGAACATATAGCAATAAAAATTCAAACAAGGCCAAATATTTTATAACAGAACATATTGAATCAAAATGTTTGGCCCTGGAAACTTGAGTGTATATGGATTTCTTTGCTCATTTCCTTTTGCTACATGAAAGGGTCTTTGAATTGGAGAGAAATACTATTTTAAGCTGTTATTTTCACCAAAAAGCCTAGACCCCCTGAAGAGTATATATAGGCTGTTGATTTCATCTCTTATTTTTATCTAAGCATGTAAATCATATATTTAATTTAAGTGAAAGTTCTAATATGAGGCTGCTGCCAAGCATACTCATAGAGGTAGTATTAAGCATCCACATTCTGCTTAAGTTCCAAGTTTAAAGATGCTGAGGCCATAGGAGTGAACCTCTTATTATTTGCCATGCACAGCCAGCTCAGCACTTGCACCCCACTTTAACGCAGCACATGCTTGCTGCACTGGTTGGGCGTCTTCTACAGGCTGACCCTTGGGATAGGAGTATGAATAAGGTACCACATCTCTGCCCTGAAAGGGATTCTAATTCAGCCAGAATCCAAAGATGGACATGAGAAAATCTAGCATAATCTTTTGTGAGTTGTCACCATGGAATAAATATTTGTTGAGTGAGTGAACAGATGTATAATATTTAGAAATAGCAAAGTCAAACATGTCTTGAATGTTCACATGTGATGCTTCAGGATTGTGATTCTGGGTGAACTATGCCAAATACAGCACCACCCACATGCCAGGCATTCTGAACCTGGAGAGTGGAGGTCAGTGCTATTTCCTCCTTGAGAGAAGGAGCCACATGAAACCAAAGGGCTGCTCCCCTGCCTGTCTTGGTGCCCGATTCTGTTGTGTCCACGATGCAGGTGCACGGCTCTGGGCTCCACTAGTATCTCTACCAAGGCTAGGGCCCCTGCCAGCCTCGGGGAGAAGCAGTCTAAGGAAGTAGGATCAGACTCTAATTCAAAAGCCTGAATCAACTGGATTTTTGGTATTCTTTAAGGGGACCAACCAATGACAGAATAATTGTTCTCACATACTCAGTTTTCCAATATTTTTCAAAATGCTGGCCAGCACTTCCTTAAATGAGGAGAATATTTGATGCAATTAGGCATCTAGACATCAGGAAAGACGTCCTGAAATGTAAAATGTTTCTTACAACGTGTAGACTAAGCCATGGCGTCCTTCAGAAAGCACATCAGTCAACCCACATGTCCCCTCTATGGGTAAATTCTCACCACCTCCCCACTGACTTCTACACCAACACATGGAAATTCCCTGGAGTTTAATATTTAATGATCAATATTTTTATTCAATTAAGTGTATATTAAGCCAGAGGAAACAAAATGCTAGAGTTATCATAGAGGTCCAGGAATGATTATAATTGCTAGCATTTATCATTCTAACGACTATATACTAGGTTTTACATACATTTTTGTAATTTTTGTGACCATTATTTACTCTGTTTTACAAATGAGAAAACCCAAATTAAGCAATTTTCCCAAGGTCACACATCTACCCAGTTGTAGAACCAAGATTTTAATCCAGACAGGCTGATTCCAGAACCCACAATGTCAACCTCTAAGGCAAGTCTAAGTTAAAGGCATAAAAGTTAAAAAATTGCAATAATAATCATTCCTTAATGTTATAATATATTGAGAAAACTCAGAGGATGTCTAATATTTTAGAAATCGTCTTCTCCTGGGTGACATTTTATAAGAAGAGCAAGAACTTTGGTATGGTAGTGTGGGGGAGATTATTACATGCACTAAATAAGTATTGCAGAAACTGTTTTCAGTTCCTCCAATTGTTGATTCAGTTTTGATAACCACTTTTTTAAAGTACAGAGTAGAATTTTTTAAAATTGCAGAAATAACTCCGTAATCCTGGAAATCTTACTGGTGGGGTTTATGCAGAGATTGAGCAAGTGGACTTAACAGAACAGCACTTGTTTCTGGAAAACCATACAGTCCCCTTGACCAGCTGCCCCTGTGTCCTGGAACTGCACAGGATGTGTAACGGTAAGAGTTAGTCAGTGGACTGTCCTGGGACACATCTGGCTCTCTATTCAGTCCCATGTTTTAAAAGTAGGAGGAAGAACTAGGTCATGACTTTCACTCTTGCTTCTCAAGACACGTGGGATGCCTTTGTTCTTACGTCCCACAGAAAACAGCCTAGAGTTTTGGCAGTCATATTCCCCTCTATAAATCTGGGCTGTCCCCAGCGGGATCACTCTGAATCACTAGACATTGAGAATTTGAAAGTGATTGTCAGTGGGAGGTCTCCTCCAGTTCTAAAAGAAAATGGGCAAATTCTTTTCAGACGACCTTCTATCATGATTCCTCTACAGAACTGAGTTCAAATATTTGTGTTATAAGAACGTGGTGTTAATTATATCACATGGAAAAACAGAGATGGTTTTGGAATGAAATCAGTATGAAACAAGCCTCCTCTGTAAGGAGACTTTCTTCAGACACTAGAAACAACTGGTACCTACAGCCATGGCTCTCCTTTGACTGATCTCCCTCTCGCTGGTGACTGGACTTTCTGCTTCAAATGTCCACGACAAAATGGGCCGAACGAGATCCGAGAACCCAACTCCTAATGCCACCAATAGCTTAAGAGTCCATCAGTATCCATTTCGCCATTTAGTGTCAATGCCAACTCTCATAGGCTTTTAAAAGTTATGAAAGGAACCCCATTTGGGATGTATGCGACGGCTCGGTTTGTCTTTGGTCTTTCCTCCTGCCACGCGGGCTAAAACAGTCCTTTGTGCTAAATGTTGCTAGAGTGCCAAAAACGGGGCCAGGCCTGTCACACATAACTGTGTGTGTCCACATCTGCATTCTGTCAGAACTACTGAAGATATGCTGATCACATAAGACAGCCCCAGCTTGTTCAAAGATACTTTGGCATATCCATGACAAATCAAATCCATACTTAATTAACCAACTCAGATATGAAACTTTTCTCCTTTCCCCCATCCTCCACTCCATCTTCCTGCTCCAGGTTTCTGTGTCCTGGGCCTTCCTCTTCCTGTTAAATCTCCCATATGCTCTCATTCTCTTGCTCACTTGCTCTCTCACATGCACACACACACACACACACACTCTCTCCCAGAGCAAAAGAAACTCCTCTCCCCTCTGTCCTTCCTGTCGCCTGCCCACTTCTGCACTG